TGAAACACTATTCTGCTTAAATGGTTATGTTTTGATCTGCGCTGTTTCGTTGTTATGCCCTCTTTTATCTCAATCTCCACTCCATTATTTACTTTTTTAATACTTTTTTAAAAATTTTTATCCTTTTAATTAAAGAAAAAATATAACAGGTTACTATATTATAGTAACCCACTTTGACTTTCCATTACCTCGATTTAAAGCCCTGTATTACTCTCACCATCTGGTTTTTAACTGATGTTCCCCTATTCTGTTTTGCTGGATAGTATCAGGTTCGAAAATTTAGGCATCAGCTGTGAAGATAGTGAGATTAATTATAACGCCCATTCTCGTTGACTTTTATCTACTTTTGAAGACCTACAATGTCTCCAATGGTTTTGTTTTGTCGGTTTTGTTCTTTACTGTTTTGTTCAATTGTATTATAACTAATGGTATAGGCAATTCTATTAGAGATAGCGGGAGGCATTATGGTAACCATTGTTGATCACCTTGTATTATGTTTTCACATTATCTATTATGTCCACCCTTTTGACTTGACCGATTCTGTTCTGTTATGTCACAACTGGTTTTACTCTCTTCCAAAAAAGTAATAAGAACCGTGAGAGCAATGAAACCCAAAATGTGTAATAGTCATTGTACAAAAGAGAGGAAAAGAAAGTGCTCTAAACTATATAACTGCATGTATATTTATGTGTATAAGATAGAATATAATATCACAGAGTTTTATTGGATCATTGAACAGAACTGTTTGCAGTATCATAGATGGAATGTCCACTTTACAAGCTTTAATTTTGTGACTTGAACAATTATTTCTAAGATGACAATATGTAATCCATTAAAAAATAAATAAATAAATAAATAATAAGAAATCAAAAAAAAAAAGCTGTGATATATATACATATCAATCTTTCATTCTGAATGTATCACTATGTATCATAAACATGTGCTAATAAAATATTAAAAAAGAAATATGTCACTGAATGTGTCTACATTGATATTGGCTATCAATGTCATTAACAATAGTAATTATTGCTATTAAAGAAACATTATAAAAATGCAAAGAAATATTTCAAAGCAGTGATTTCCAGTCTGCTGTAAGAAAAAAAAAAAAACAAGAACTTCATATATGTACATTCTGATTAAATTGGCTTCAACCTGTGGCACATGAATACAAATACACTTTTAAAACTACAGATAAAACTGCAGCAGATACACCAAAACCAATAAGCTGCACAATTCAAAGTGATTTTGAAATGTATTCACATCACATAAGGTGTCTAAGTATGATCTGCATTTGGCAGATGAGAATGGTGTATTAACTTAATTTTCTGCATTTTTTATATTTTGTTTTCTCACAATTAAGTTACAATGTGAGCTGATAAAGTAATTAACTAGACTTACCCTCACCTAGAAGTAAAAGAATTATAATGAATGAATCCAGAAAATTTGGCAGGAAAATCTATCTAAGACAATTGGGATTCAAATCAAGGATTTGGGGCTTTTCCCAGTGATGAAAACCTTAGGTCTAAGAAAGATTTATGGTTAGACAACAGGTCAGTATAGTGAAACTTATATAGTATGGCCTTTTTCAAAATGAAAAAAAAGTAATGTGGCTTTTTAACTTAGGTATTGAACTGATATCTAGGTATGTTAAGATTTAAAAAATTGTAGTCCTTTTATGATTAACAGATAGGGTAGGTTCTGAGAAAACATTTATTAAATGATTGTGTCATTGTGTGAATATCATAGTGTGTGGTTAGTCAAAAAATGTTGACTAGGACATCACTGAGAAAATAATGTTTTAAGAAAGTGCTGGTGAATCCATTGCACGGATGCCACAGTGGACTGCTTTCATCATTGAAAACCTTAAAAGATTCACTGTCACCATTTTAGGACCATCAGAGCACAGGAATTCCATTATTGGCAGAAGCACTATTATGCAGCCTGTGACAAAACTTCAACAAAGAAAATTTAAATGCATATATATTGCAGCATGATTCACTGATATCAAAAAATGAAAATCACTCAACTGTCTAGCAATGTACACATGAAAAAAAATACCTAAGTATACACATTATGGTATTATTCATAGAGAAAAAGGAAATGCAGCAAATAATCTGATCAAATAATGTAGTCCAGATGAAGGAAGAAAATAAACAAGTTAAGGAAAAACAAAAGCAAACTTAAGTAATGAAGGTAGAAGGAAACAGAAGAAAAAGGAAAACAACAAAAGAAGAACAAGAAAAGAAAAGATGAAAAAAGCAAAATTCCCAAAGAACAGCATTATGACACCAATAAATGTGTAATCCTTCTTTAAAATGTAGATTCTTGCTTTTATTTTTCAAATCTAACAAATGATTTTTATAAAAATTTTGACAGCAGAGCAAGGGCTGTGTCTTCACAGTAATGAGTCCAAACTAATCTCTGTCTCTTCCCTTCAGAAATGATGCAAATGGAGAGGGCAAGAAGATGACAGCTTGCTACATAGCTGAGTAGAGAGCCTCTCTGGGAAAACAACTCAGATCCTGCAATTTGTCAACATGGAGAAGGCTGGATGAGTGGAGAGATTCTCACAACCCCTGTAGGAAACTGAAGGAAAAAAACTAGGAAAAGGAAGGAGAAACGTGGGTGGATGGGTGGAGCCAGACATGCTGTGAGACTGGTCCCATGCTGTGCTGGGAGGGTCCTGGAGGCAGAGGATCCATGGTTGTGTTGAAGCTGCAGCTGCCAATATTAGGAGTGAATGAGTCCCAGGCTCTTGGTGGGAGGATGCGGCACAGTGTGGACTGCAGCCTAGGTGGAGAGCTGCAGTAATTCTTGGTGAGTGCTGGAAACTGTGTCATGCAGTGGATGTGGCTGGCTGGAAGACATCTTGGTGTGCGGCAGAGTCTGGCACCACAGTGGCATCAGCCAGCCACCACTGGCCCAGAGAGAATTGGTGGGATCAGTATGGGCTGAATCATGTCCCTGGTTGGTACCCAAAAGCCAGAAATAATACAGTCTGGACCCTGTGATATCCACCACAGCACAGCCTAAGTTGCTGAGGGCACTTGCTGGTTGACTGGATAGGAGGAGCAGGGCCAGCCTGCATCATCCCTGCCTGAACCTCAGATAACATCAAACTGGAGATGGCAGCAAAGCACCAGGCCACATGCTTTAGCAAAAGGGTAAGAAATATGGAGACATCGTGAGAATTGCACAACACACCTGTCTGAAAGAAACCAGAAAAATGACAAGAGATAGAAAAATGTAAAAGGCTCCAGCTGCTGATCCTGGTAGAATAAGCCCAGCAGAGATAAATACAGAAGAGAATCAGTGCAGCAATCATTTAATATTACCCACAACATCAGTGGACATAAAGAAATACATTTGTGATCTCATAGAAGAACTTAAAACTGAAATTCTAATCCAATTGAGGCAAGGTATAAAAAGATTAATTAAAGACATGATAAGCCCCTCAAGAAAATGCAGAAGGAATAATTGAGGAACCCAGAAAAGGAAGAGAAAACTTTGATGAAGAATATAAACAAAATCTGTAATACATGAAACAGATCCAAAGAGATACCAGGAAATGAAAAACTCCATTGAAAGCCGGTAAAATGCCTTGACAGAAACTAAAGTTAGCCTTTTGAAACTTGAAGAGAGCTTTCCAATGTGTGTTCGTGAAGAATAGCCCTATTAAAAATAACAAGGAACCAGGAAGTAACAATTCTAAGGCTAGAAAAGACAAGAGGATCTATAACTTAAGAATAAAAAATGTGAGCAAAAAAGCAGGAGTAACCACAAATGAATTATAAAAACTATTCACGTACATAATTAAGGAAAACTTTCCAAGCATAGAAAAAAGTGATATTCAGATAAATGAGGCATACACAACCCCAGCCATCTATAACCAAAAGAAGTCTAGACCAAGATATAATAATCAAGATCCCAGAAATTCATCACAAGAACTGAATATTAAAAACAGCAATAAAAAAAAGCGGATCACCTACAAACGAAAAATCATTAAAATAATGACAGACTTCCCAACACAATATACCAAATCAAGAAGAGTTTGGAGTGAATTTTGGGGGTCTGATACTTTTTATATTCTTTATATGTTTTAGACAGGATTCCTTTGTCTGAGGGACAGTTCACTAAGATTTTTTCTCAGTTTGTTGGTTTTCTTTTCACTATTCTGGAGATTTCTTTTGATATGCAGAAACTTTTTAATAAGATGTGATCCCAGCTATTGAATCTGGGAAGTATTTCCCGTGTCGTTTGATTCCTGTTCATGAATTCTTTACCTACCCCTATGTCTTCAAGGTTTTGATACAATTTGTCTTCAAACCGTTAGTGTTAATGTTTTAATATTCAGAATTTTATAGATAAATGGATGCAACTAGGGACCATAATCAAAAGAGTAATAAATCAGATGGCATCATATTGTTTCCCTAGCATGAGAAGTTGAAAGAAATATATATATAGATAGATAAGATATATATATATGATAATTAAGATAGTTATATTACTAATTTCTAAGTCATTGAAATGAAAGATTTCTGCTAATATTCTTTGAAAAATAAATGCAGTTATCTTGCACTCTGAGTAACGAGTTTAAAGACAACAATCCAAAACACATTAACCATTGTTACCCTCTAATTATCATGTTTTGAAATTTTAATTTACCTTTTCCACTTTAAAATTAAAAATCCTCATCGTTTTATCCTTCAATATATTTGAATACACAAAACTAAATACAACATTTTTATAATTTTAAAGCATGTATTTATTCATTTTTGGGCAAAAATACTCTTTATCCATCTCTAATTTTTTTTAAACTTCCAAAAGAAACTTTTCATTTTCCCCAACCAGCTGTTCTTCTAATATGAAAGATAATAAAAACTCAAAGTTCTGAAATAAAATAACCAAGGAAAACCAGTGTATTTAAATGTGAGTTTAGGTGTTTAATTTCACAACATTTTCAAACCTATAATTCCAAATGGATCACAAACATCTTGGGATTACACTCTCCAGCTGAGAATCTTCTTCAGAGTTCTACTGATGTCTCTGTTTCTCAGGCTGTAGATGAAGGGATTCAGCATAGGGGTGAACACAGTGTACAGCACAGAGGTCACCATGCCCTTGATGGGAGAATAGGACACATCTGATCCAAGGTACATCCCAAGGCCTGTTCCATAAAATAAGCATACAGCTGAGAGATGAGAGCTGCAGGTAGAAAAGGCTTTGTACCTCCCCCCGGATGATGGTATTTTTAGAACGGAGGAAACAATTTTATAGTAAGAGAAAAAGATCCCCAAGAAGGGAAAAAACCCATAGATGACACCAACGATATATGTGATCACAGTGTTCAATAAAGGATCAGAACATGAAAGGTTGAACAGCTGAGAAGGTTCACAGAAGAAATTAGCAATTTTTGTGTGCTTGAAGCAGGTAGACAATAAAACAATTGAATTATGCATCTGGGACTCCACAAGGCTAAGAAAGACAGACACCAAAAGTAATAAGGCACAGCGATGTGTGCTCACAATGACAGCATAATGCAGGGGGTGACAGATGGCCACAAAGCGATCATAGGCCATCACAGTCAGGAGCATGTCATCCATACAGCCAAAAAGGATAAACAGAGACATCTGTGTCAGACAGCCCATGTAGGAGATGACTCTGCTGTGAGTTAGGATGTCCACAATCATCTTAGGGACCATGGTGGAGGTGAAGCAGATATCATTAAAGGACAGGCTGGAGAGAAAGAAGTACATGGGGGTGTGGAGGTGGGTGTTAAAGCTGACAGCCAGAATAAGGAGCAGGTTCCCGAGGACTGTGACCAAGTACATGGTCAGGAACAGGCCAAAGAGGAACAACTGCAGATCTGGGTCATCTGAGAAGCCCATGAGATGAAATTCTGAGATATGTGTTAGATTGTACATTTTAATAATTCTTGAACACGTTTTCAGAATGAAAATTCATTAGAAAAGTGAAATCACACAAAATTCTGCATGTTATGTATACAAATATCTCCAATGAAATTATGCCTATATGAAGGCCGAAACATTCAACAATAATGTCTATTTTGACAATCTTAACTGTTATAACATCTTTCATTACTGGGTGGCTTGTTTTGCCGTCTTCCATAAAGTCCTACTTACAGATGTTCTACAACACCATGTTCGGAGTCCAAGACCAGTAGGCTTCAGAAATCTATGAGACCCGTAATTTCTTGCAAAGGAATTGAAAGAATGTTAACCCATTAAACCCCATCCCTCTTTTAAAAATATGATTCTAGGGGCCAGGGATTTAGCTCAGCGGCATAAGCACCTGCCTTGTAAGTGTGTGGTTGTGAGTTTGAACCCTGGTACCAATAAAAAAAAAAAAGAAAGAAAAAGACAAAAAATATGATTCTATTGAAAGAAAATAAAATGCATTCAACTATGTTATTTAATCCCAGAAAATACAAATACCATACACCTTATGTGTAGGTGTTAGAAATATTACAAACACTAGGACTGTACTATCCAAAAATAGACTACAGTGAATTTGTCATAGTCAAAATACACTGTATTCAGCTAGTTACCTGACATACATTTTCTTCATTCTTAGGTTTTCTGATTTCTGTGCTGCAGTACAATAAGTTTTCACTCACTCTTTGTGTATGCATAGTTTATTTAACATATATCTTCTTGTTGTCTTTAATGAATTTCAATCTGTGTTAATGAGGTTAAAATCGGTGCAAATAGTTTTATGATGTAATGACCACAAATGCAGCATTAACCACACTATACCTACCAAAGAGTAAATAATAACGATGAAAATCACATTTGATGATTTAGTTTTTAAAGTTTTTTTGCTATAATACAATGCCAAGAAGATATTTGCTAGTTTAACATCTCTCTGTTCTGTTTACTGCTTCAGTGTATGACAGTGTTGTGGTAATGTGCTTTATTATTTTTGTTGATATAAACCCTGCTATGTGCAATGGGAAACATGATAAATAAAGAAAATCTGGCTGAGTTCCATGTTTCTTAATTCTGACTGACAATTTTCACAGGAATTCTTCCAGATATGTCTTTCATTTCTCTGCTTTCAGATATGTGAAGGAGTCTTGGATCCATATTTTTGTCAAATGGTACTGTGATTAAATTGGGAAAAACACAAAAGAGAAAAGTACACGAAACAATATAGGCATATTTGGAATCTCCTCTGCAGTCATCAAGGTAAGCACTTCTGTAAATAATACAGTTCCTCTCATGGTATAACAGAAAAATTATTTACCTTAAAGAGTTGAAGCAAAAAATCGTTTTCAAAATAATTCAGGTTTCATCACTCTTGCATCTAATATATTGATCCAGGTAAATTTTAAAATATCCACATACTGCCGCCTCAGACCATGTAATTTCATCTGAAATCTTCATTTCAGGTACTTGTGCGATTCTCTTATATTAGAGTTGAGAATAACTGTCTTAACTATATTTTAGCATTTAGAAATGTCCCATTAATTTCTCTACAGACACATACAGTTTATATGTATTTGTTAACATTTACATCAACTCCAAGAGTTTTTTTAGATCTGAACAGTCACCTAAGAAATTTGGATTCTTGCTATCTATCCAAGATTTAATTTTTTTGTACTGCTGGCCTCATAGGCATCTATTCCTATCAATATTATGGATAGAATTTTTCCTTTCAGTATTTCTGGGTTGTCACTGACTTATGATCCCAGAGTAGCTATTTGAAAGCCCACCTAAGGAGTACCTAAAACACATGTAGCTTGTGTAGGAAAAAATTATTGTGCCTAAAAGACAGTAGATTACATAAAGTGATTTTATCTCTCCTTCAGCTATTGCCACCATGGTCTGGGAGGTAATAAGATACCATTTAACTTGTAAATTTATTATTAACATAATGTTTTGAAACTTCTTGTGCCTTTCTCCTTGTCACTCATAGGAAAATTTGTATACAGTGTATTTGTGAGTGATACGTCTCTTATTTCCAACAAAAAATGCATGTAAAATTTCTGATTATTGGCTAAAAACAATGAGTGAGTCAGTATAATTTACAATCTTTGGTTCTTGAGATATTCCTTCAAAGTATCCATGAGGTTGGTCTGGTAATTTTCTCTATATGAAACCACACAGAAAGTTGCATGTTCACCATATGAGAATAACATTTGCATTTTGTTCCAGTGGTGGATCCTTTACCAAGAAATGAGACAGGGGAAATGAACATGTTAGTCCTGCATCATTGTTGTGCTAAAATAGTCAGAATGTTTGTCAGTCTCTCTTCCTCTCTCTGCCAATAAGGCCAGAGGAAAACAAGACAATGCATATGATAACTAAACAGAGTTTGTAACTTAAATGTTTATGAGCTTTTGTTTCATTAAAAACTAATTACATGAAGTAGCAAGCTGAAAATTTATTGATAAATGCAATAAACTATATCCAAAACATTAGAGACCTGAAAAATACGATGTTTTTAATGCATCTGAAGCCCAAGCATAGATTCACCTCTTCCTGTCTATTTTGCACCTTTGTAAACAAATAAGTAGCTCTGTTATGTTTTTATATGTTTTATACAGATGGAATTAAATGGACTATAAGGCTCATATGTCAAAAATTCTTAGCATAGAAATAATTACACATAAGCCAACATATTCTGTCAAATAAAGTAAAATGTTTACTTATCACAACACAGAAAGATTTGAGCAGAGGTTCTGAGTCTAAATTGCTGGTGTAATACAGTTTCATATTTAACTCTCAAATTATCTAAACAAAAGTGAAACCCTGACCTGCCTTAACCTCATTTGAGGCTGTGTGGAATTAGTAGAAACAGGAGGAGGTTATGGGAAGCTACAATATCCTTCAGTGGTGGTTGGAGAGAAACTGCGTAGGATGAGGGCTTTTCTGTGATGGTAGCAGCAGATGCCAGTCAGGACTCTGCTCTTGGAGCTTTCAGAAGCCTCCAACAAGAAAGGCCTGTGAACAACAGTTCCCTTGTAGAATGACACAGAAGTCAAAGAATGTGAATGACAGTCTGCCAGTAGTTTTTTCTTGTACAATTCCATGTCTGTTTAGGACAGCCGAATTCCCATGCATCAATTTTCCACCTGAGCACTTACTGCAGGTTCCATTAAAATAGTAGGCTTTCCATTTTATATAAGCAGTAATAATGTGGATATTTACAATTGCAGGAAGATGAAGCAAATGAAATGAAACAAACGACATAGAACAGATTGCTCAGAGCCTGGAATACACCATGCTCTCAAAACCAGTTCATTATGTTATCATTGACATCTCTAAAACCTTATCATCACATTCGTAAAACTTTTAGAGTTAAGAAGCACTTCAGAAAGATATGTTTTCTGTTCCTATGTGTGAAACAACAATGGAAAGTAAAAAGAGTGTGGAGAAATCAAGTTTGAAATAATAATTCTGCTTTCTCTACTACAAATACCATCATAAAATTTCCATTCATTATAACTAATATTTTTCATATTTATTTCTCTGTACCTGACTACCTAAACTGACATAATTGACGGGCTGTAGCTCAGTGACACAAGGCCTCCCTAGCAAGTGTGAGGTCCTAATTTCAATCCCTGGTACCAAAAAAATTTTTTAAAGTTGGAATAATTGCCCTTATGATGAAGAAAACATACTTTTCCGAATCATTCCCATATCAATGAAATCCCTATGTACTTACTGGTTGATGCTGTTTCTGTCCTAGGTCACAGCCAAGGAAATCACATCCAAAGACCCTCCTATGTCTGCTGCCCAGTGAAGTTTCAGACTCTGTCCTCAGATTTTAAATTAATACCAAGTCATATAGGAACTTGCCAATGCAGGCAACCAAGGTGCTTGTCACAAAAATGTGGAGCTCTCTGGAGAGGAATCATCAAACTGAAGACCTCCAGACCAGCCAATTATTGACTACTCCATGATCTTAGAGACTCAATACCCAGAGCTCATAATTAGCCAAATTGGAACATGCCATCCCCATCTCTAAGGACTTTCCAAAGAGAATGGAGGAAGGAGACAAAAAGCCAGTAAGTGTCCATGAGAGTTTTGGGGGTTTTCTTCAAATCAGGTGAAGTTAGCACATACTAATCACTTCTGTTACTTTATGTATAATATTTTTTTATTTTATTTAAAAGGAAAAGAGAAAAACACAAAACAAAACAATGCTGTGTAAGGGTACAAGTAATACAGAACTATAAAAAAAAAAACAGTCAGAAATCACCAGTTAATAGATTACATATTATCATCTTAGAGATAGTTGCTCAAATCACAGTATCAAAGCATACTAAGTGGACATTCAAACAGTGAGACGGCAAACAGTTGTGTTCAATGATCCAACCAAAAACATTAATATGGTCAGCTATTTAACGCCCCTAAACACACTTGCTGTTGTATCCTTTAAAGCTCTTTTTTTCCCTCTCTTTTTTAAAACAAAATTTACACATTTTGGGTTTTATTACTCCTTAGTTCTCATTACTTTTTTTGGGGGGGGAGAGAATAAAGTCAAATATGGCAAAACAAAGCTGTCAGTCAAAACCAAGGATAGACATAGCACATGATGTAAAACAGAGTACAAGGTTATCAACAATGGTTATCAACAATGTCTCTTGTTTCCTTAAAAAGAATTGTCTAACTCATTAGATATTATAAAGTTGAACAAAACAGTAGAGAACAAGACCAATAAAACTTAAGCATTTTAAACATTACAGGACTTCCAAAGAAGACAATAGTCAAACCAGATTGGGCATCTTAGTCAATCTTATTGCTTTTAAAGTAGTTGCCTAGACTTCCGGGAGAACATGGCAGACACATAGCAGCAGCTATGGAGGCTCTCTGAAAGAATCAGCTTGGAATTCAGGAATGGTGCGGAGTAAGGAGTCATGAGCAAGTGGAGATATGCCCTGCTGACCTGGGAGCAAACTGGGCTGAGAGAAACCAAATTGGAGTGCAATCCTGGTACTATAACAGGAACAGAAAAGCCTCAGTGTGGAAGCTGGAGCCCGCACCATTGGAAGCCGCGATTTGGGTTTCCCGCTGCATGGCGGCTGCATCTACATCGGCTCGGCAGGGAAAGACACGTGTGGAAGCTCTGCGAACGGGAATCGGTGAACGGAGTTGAAAACAGGACGGGCGGGGAGCAGTGCATTGACTTGCAGTGAGGTGAGTGAGAGAAACTGACACTCTTCCCACGGTTTGGGAGACTACAACAGAGGACATTCTGGGACTGGGCAGACTTGTGGGAGCAGGGCGCTGCGGTGACTTCAGCCAGGTATCCCCCTCTCAAGTGGGATTGGTGAGAAGTGCATGGCCTACATGACGCTGCTGGCTGAGATCCAGTAGGCTAGCACAACCCAGGTCCCAGAGCCTGAGGGTGACCTGGAGGGGCGGGCCCCACATAGGCTGCCTGGTCCATAACTCAGTGGTGCACTGTGATGGGCGAGAACACTTAGCAAGCGCAATTCAATCAGACTGTGGCTGACCGAGAAGGAAGCTGGGCCTCCTATATAAGCTTGCATATATAAGGAACAAAGAATATGGGAAGAGGAAGCAACAAGAAAGGCCCTTCAGCCCCCAATCCTGAGAAACAGGCAATAGCGGACACTGCACCAATAGGCATAAAGCGCCATCTAGAGAGCCTGATAGATCAGTTCAGGAAGGAAGTTATTAATGACCTGAAGCTAGAAATAAGCAGAATAGTTAGAGAAATGCTAAGCACCACCCAAGAAGAAACAGATGGTGGAATGGAAGATCAGAAAGAGGGGAGAATTGTTTAATGGAGAAAATAGAGAAAGCATAGAATACATGAAGCAGGTTCAAAGAGACTACCAGGAAACTAAAAACTCTATCGAAAACTGGCATAACAGCTTGAAAGAAACTAAGGACAGACTATCTGAACTGGAGGGCAGATTTGTAATATGGGAGAATGAAATGAAAAACTTCTTAAAAGTAACAAAGAAACAAACAGCAATAACACAAAGACTGGAAGATGATAAGAGGATCCATAACTTAAGAATTAAGAACATAAAAGAAGTAGGGACACAAACAAATGAACTTAGCAAAAGGTAAAGATACACAGTTGTATGAAGCATACAGGACCCCAGCCACCTACAACCCAAACAGAGCAACACCGAGGCATATCATAATTAAAATTTCAGAAATTCAATACAAGAACAGAATATTAAAAGCTGTCAGAGACCAGAAACAGACCACTTACAAGGGAACACCCATCAGAATTACAGCAGATTTCTCTGCACAAACCATCAAATCACAAAGAGCATGGGGGGAAATAATTCAAGCTTTGAAAGATAATAATCTCCAGCCAAGATTGATATATCCTGCACAACTATCCCTGCAAATTGATAGAAAAACAAGGTGCTTCCAGGATAAAGAGGAACTAGGGGAATATGCAACCACCAATTCAACTCTACAGAGAATACTACAGGATATTCTAAAAAAGAAAAATACAAAGAATCCAGAAATAGTGGCAGAGAGGCCACAATGAATGGAGCAGAAAAGAAAATAAAGAAGACAAACTGACAACTAATGACAGAAAAAGAGCTCAACAGAAATGAGGCAGAGAAGATTGGATGATAGGAACAGCTATTTTGGAGAAAATGACGTCTTAATAGGTAATACTGATTTAGTATCATCTTGTTTTGAAGTCTCATCAAGCTTCTGTTCTTCTGTCTCCATTGGTCTAAACAGGTTGTATCTTATTGGATTTTATTATGTATGATAGTATAAGCAAAAACTTTTAAAGACAAGGAGATTATACAGAAACCATTGTTCATTTTCTGTTGGTTGATTCTAAATACCCTGTAATGCTGTCATTCTCTTAAATGGTTTTACATTGTTTTGATATACTTAATGCTACAGTATACGAAGTTGTACTCAAGGATTTCAAGGAAAGAGACAATATGGTAACTACTTTTATGTCAGGATTATCTTGTGGTGAAACACTATTCTGCTTAAATAGTTATGTTTTGATCTGCGCTATTTTGCTGTTATGCCCTCTTTTATCTCAATCTCCACTTCATTATTTACTTTTTTATTTTTATCCTTTTAATTAAGAGAAAAATAAATAAAAAATAGCAGGATATATTATAGTAACCCACTTTGACTTTCCATTATCTCGATTTGAAGCCCTGTATTACTCTCACCATCTTGTTTTTGACTGATGTCCCCCTATTCTGTTTTGCTTGATAGTGCCAGGTTCGAAAGTTTAAGCAACAGCTGTGAAGATGGTGAGATTCATTATAACACCCATTCTTGTTGACAATTATCTACTTTTGAAGACCTATAATGTCTCCAATTTTTGTTTTTGTCGGTTTTGTTCTTTACTGTTTTGTTCAATTTTATTATAACTGATTATATAGGCAATTCTATTAGAGATAGCAGGAGGCATTATGGTAACCATTGTTGATCACCTTGTATTATGCTTTTACATTATCTATTATGTCCACCCTTTTGATTTGATTGACTCTGTTCTGTTATGTCACATTTGGTTCTACTCCCTTCCAAAAAAGTAATAAGAACTGTGGGAGCAACAAAACCCAAAATGGGTAATGTCATTGTACAAAAGAGAGGAAAATAAAGTGTTCTAATCGAAATAACTGCATGTATATATAAGTGTATATGATAGATAATGTTATCACTGAGTTTTGTTGGATCATTGAACAGAACTGTTTTCAGTCTCACTGTTGAATGTCCACTTTACAAGCTTTAATTTTGTGACTTGAACATTTCTAAGATGACAATATCTAATCCCATTAACTAGTGATTTCCTACTGTTTATTTTTTTCTGTAAATCTGTATAACTTGTACCCTTTCTCTGCTCTTTTTTTCTCCTTAAATAAAATTTTTTAAAAAACAACAACAAAGTAGTTGCCTATACCTCAAACTTGATACTATCATACAGAATGGAACAGAGTCTAATTAGTCAAAACAAGATCATGGAAATATTACAGGATTTCAAAATAAGTTAATAGGAAATCAAAAAAAGTTACTATTATATATCCTGCTAATTTTTTTAAATTTTTCCCCTTAATTAAAACAAACATAAAAAATAACTAAATAATTTTTTAATGAATAAGGGAGAGATTGAGAAAAAACAGAACATAACAATATAACTATACAGGTCAAAAGCATGACTGTTTCAGCAACCTAGTGCTTCACCACCAAATAACCCGACTTAATAGTAGTTAAAATAGTGTCTGTCTTTTTCCTTGAAATATTTGAATAAAACTTCATATACTATAGCTTCAAATATTTCCACATCAAGAAGCCCAGAATAAAGCCTTTCCAATTAATAAGTGAAAACTTTATAAGGCTTCAAGGCCATATAATGGGGAATCATGAGTACCACATATTTTTATATATTTGAATCATTACTTACATTAGGGAAACTATTCAGTATTCACACGTGCGAGATTGATTTATTTCACTTATGAGTATGGTCTCAAGCTGTGGCCATTTATTGACAAATATCTCAATGTGATCCTTCTTTATAGCTGAATGATACTCCATTGTATAGAAATACCACAACTTTTTAATCCATTCCTCAGTTGATGGACACTTGGGTTGTTTCCAAGATCTGGCGATTACAAATTGTGCTGCTATAAACATAGGTGCACATATATCACTGTGGTATGATGCTTTCAGTTCTTCTGGGAATATGCCTAGAAGTGGAATAGCTGGAATAAATGGGACTTTCAATCCCAGCTTTTTGAGAAATCTCCAGACTCACCTACACAAAGGCTGCACCAGTCTACACTCCCACCAACAGTGTAGGAGACTTCCTTTTTCCCCACGGCCTCTCCAGCATTTGTTGTTGTTGGTTTTCTTGATCCTGGCCATTCTTTCAGGAGTCAGATGGTATCTCACTGTGGTTTTAATTTGCATTTCTCTAATGACCAATGATGATGAACATTTTTTCATGTATTTATTTGCCATTTGCATTTCTTCATCTGAGAAGTGCGTATTCATCTCAGATGCCCATTTTTGGATTGGATCTTTCAATTGTGGGGGTCTGAGTTTTTTTTAATTGTTTATATGTTTTAGACAAGAGTCCCTTGTCTGAGAGAGAGTTCACTAAAATCTTTTCCCAGTTTGTGGGTTTTCTTTTCACTATGCTGGAGATTTCTTTTGACTTGCAGAAACTTTTTAATAAGAAGTGGTCCAAGTTATTCATGCTGGGAAGTATTTCCTGTGCGGTTTCAGTCCTGTTCATGAATTCTCTACCTACTCCTATGTCTTCAAAGTTTCTATTGATTTGTCTTCCAATAGATTTAGTGTTTCTGTTTTAATATTCAGATCTTTGACCCATTTACATTTTAATTTAGTACATGGTGATAGACATGGGTCTAGCTTTAGTTTTCGGCAAGTGGAGAGCCAGTGTTTCCAGAACCATTTATTAAAGAGACTGTCGTTCTTCCAGTGAACCTGCTTGGCTCCTTTATCGAAGATAAGGTGGTTGAGTGTGTTTGTAGTTGTGGTTGTATCTTCTAATCTATTCCATTGATCTTCGGCTCTGTTTTGATTCCAATACCATGTTGATGTTACTACTGTTGCTTTGTAGTATAACTTCAAGTCAGGGATTGTGATGTCTCCTGCTCTGTCTTTGCTGCTTAGAATTGCCTTTGCTATTCTAGGTCTCTTCTGGTTCCAGATGAAATTTAGGAGTGATTTCTCTAGATCTGTAAGGTATGTTGACAGTATTTTTATTGGGATTGCATTGAATATGTATAACAGTTTTGGAAGAATGGCCATTTTCACAATGTTTGTTCTTCCTATCCATGAGCACGGGATGTCTTTCCATTTTCTGAGATCATCTTCAGTTTCTTTTTTCAGTGTATTATAATTTTCACTGTATAAGTCTTTCACCTCTTTCGTAAGAGTAATTCCTAAATATTTCATTTTTTTTGCTTGATAATGTGAAGAGTGTTTCACTAGGTGAAACAGATTCAAGGAGATATTCAGGAAATCAAAAATTCCACCTAAATCTGGGAAAACCACATGAATGAAACTAAAGATAGACTCTCAACCTTGAAGACATGATTGTGACTAGTGATCATGAAAGAAAACAGCTCTTAAAAGAACAACACATGTATGAATACCAAATAGTTTCCCTAGTGTAAGCAATGATTCAAATATATAAAGTATATGGTAATCATGATTCTCCATTATTTGGGTTTGAAGACTCATAAAGTTTTCACTCATTAAGTGGAGTGGCTTTATTTTGGGCTGCTTGATATTATTGCCTGTGATGAAATAAATAGCTATTTTCAAGAAAACAAGACATCATAATAGCTAGTGCTGGTTTAATATCATCTTGTATTGAAGTTCACCAAACTGTTGCTCTTCTGTCTCCATTGGATTTGTCATGTTGTATCTTACTGGATTTTATGAAATGTGATTGTATAAACAAAATTTTTTATAGTCAAAGAGATAATATAGAAACCATTGTTCATTTTCCGTTAGCTGGTTCTAAAGACCCTGCAATACTTGCATCCACTTGAATGGTTTCACACTGTCTTGGTATGTTTGATGCTATAGTATACGAAGTTATATTCAAATATTTCAAGGAAAGAGACACTATGATAACCACTATTAAATCGGGTTATTTGTGGTGAAGCATTAGGTTGCTGAAATTGTCATGCTTTGACCTGTATTGTTATATAGTTATGTCCTCTTTTATCTCAATTTCCCCCTTATTCATTAAAAAATTATTTATTTTTTTAATTTTTTATTTTTTTTACTTAAGGGGAAAGTTTTCAAAAAATTACCATCATATATTGTAGTAGCATTTAAATTTCATATTAACTTAATTTGAAGCCCTTTATTACTCTCACTATCTTTTTTTGACTGATTTTACTCTGTTCCCTTCTGCTTGTTATTATCAAGTTTGAGGGTATCAGCAACTAGTTGAAGGCAATAATATTCACTATGATGCCCATTATGATTTGACTATTATCTTCTTTGAAGTCCTGTCATGTTTCCAATGTTTAGGTTTTATTGATATTGTTCTTTAGTGTTTTGTTCAATTTTATTATACCTAATGATATAGGCAATTCTTTTGAAGAATGCAAGAGTCATTATGGTAACCATTGTTGGTAACCATGCATTCATTTTTTACATTATGTGCTATGTCTATTCTTTATTTTGAATGACTGCATTGTTTTGTCATATTTGGTTTTATTTTCTTCCAAAAAAGAGTAATAGGAACTATGGGAGTAATAAAACACAAAATGTGTAAATTTTGTTGTAAAAAAGAGAGGAAAAAAGTGCACTAAAGGATACAACTGCAAGTGTGGTTAGGTGTGTTAAGATAGATGACCATATTACTGAGTTTTTGTTGATTCATTGAACACAATTGTTGGCAGTCTCCCTGATTGAATGTCCACTCTGTATGCTTTAATCCTGTAACTTGAACAACTATTTCTAAGATGACATTATGTAATATATTAACTAGTGATTTCTTAGCATTTTTTGTAACTCTGTATTATTTGTACACTTATACTTATTTTTCTTTTTTTCCTTCAAATAAAAAATTTTTAAAAAAGAACAAGGAATCAGAAAATTACCATTCAATAGCTGCAAGATGATGCAAAAAGAAACAATGTAAGTCTAATAGGTGTACAGGAAAAGGGAGACAATGCAAATGGTGTTAAAAGACTATTTACAGACATAATAGCAGAAATTTGCCAAACATATACATGCAGATAAGCAAGGCATATAGGACTGCAATTAGCCATAACCAAAATAAATCTGCATCTCAGCATTTAATAATCAGCATCCCTGAAATTCAGCACAAGAACAGAATAGTAAAATGTGCTAGAGAAAACAAGTAGGTTATCCACAAAGAATCATGGTAGACTTCTTAACACAAAGCTTCAAGTCAAAAGAATATGGAGTGATATATTTCAAGTACTAAATGAAAACAATTTACATTCCAAGTTGTTATACCTTGCAAAACGTCCACTCAGAGTGAAAGGAGAAATAAAATACTTCCATGACAAAGAACAACTAAAGAACTTCGT